CACTCCCCTCTTAAAGAAAAATATATTTAACCAAATGGAGACTTCTGGGTTGATCAAATTCAGGGAATACATAGCCATCCCATCTCTCCACACTTTATTATAGTGTATTTACTTAGAACCAATATCAGGACGTAAAGAAACCCTGGAAGTGATCACACATAGTGACTACACCTCATACTAACCACCTTTTGTGATTGTAAGTGCCTTAAAGTTTTCAGTACAATCATAAAGAAAGGGGGCAATATAAATAAAAAATTATCAAATATCAAATGACTACTTTACAGATCCAACAGACCCTTTTTGAGTTCCAAATTACAGCTGTGTTTCTTGATTACAGACTCATTTGCTCAGGCTAAGCCTCAATTTTGTGAAGAATATTCACGCGTTCCAGTCAAGGTCCGTCAAGTTTCAAAGTGCTCATTTTGTTGAACTTGTGCATTCTTTACTTTACCGTTGGTATTTGCAAGTATTTAGACACTAATTCGAGGCTAAGCCTGAGTAAATGAGTCTGTAATCAAGAAACACAGCAGTAATTTGGAACTCGAAACTGGACTATTGGAATTTATCATGTGATGTATATAAATACGTTTTGCAGAGGAAGGAAATCTAGAAAACCTGTAGAAAACCCCTCGAATCAATGAAATGTTCAAGGAGAATGTGAATCAGGTGTCTCACCAGTTCCCTCTGTTGGATGATCTGTTTCCATCTGTTCATCTTTTGTTTCTTCATCTCCAATCACTCCAATATAAGCAGGAACATCGTACTGCAATACAAGGTTGAGAGAACTAATTTAGGTGTCATTTAGTAATAATTATATTACCTTATAGAGGCTTTGCATCATCCCGTGATGGCAGCCATGACAAGAGGCAGGAACAATTGAATCTGGTCTAATGTGATTTACATGAGAAAGAATTCAGTTTCCCAAGGGAGAACGACTCTCTTGTTGTGCCTCCTGTCATTGCTGCCATCACGTTATGGTGCAAAGCCTCTATACAAGGAAAAATATATCATTTCATAACTCTTTAATTTTATATTTTTGTTTTCAAAATCAGTTATTGAATAATAACTACTCCTAAACAAAACCCAGACATATCATCGAAGTGTGTATGTCGTCAGTAGACCCCTTGCATTTGACGTCAAAGCAGCTCAATTTGGAGGACAAAAAAAAAATTTAGATCTCATGTGAATTGGAAACCTATTGTTATATCCTCCAAAATGAGCTGCATTCCAGCATACTGCAAGGGGTCTACAGTATTTACAGAGCATTAAAAAATATTGTATTTTGCCATTAGTGTCTGGACATACAAAATAAGGGCTATTATAAAATCAAGAAAAATATGTTTTCTGGGCTGTACAGGAAAGGAAATCAGCAGAGCACTCAGTAAGGGTTGATACAGTAAGTACCCTGTTACTCTAAGTGTCAATCATCATGTTTAACCTATCACTTCTCTTATGGGCTGTCATTCCTGTATGCTTCCTGTAAGTGTATACAGTTTCTATTTTTTCAATAAATGGGAAAAATACATGTGCAAAAAGATTAAAGCCATTTCAGAGGTTTCATTAACTTTTGAAAGGACAGCAATTCATGCACTAGCTGGAGAGTCTAAGTGAACATTTTATAAATGGTAGTTTAAGCCAGAAAATAAAGCTCATTTACTAGATCATAGATCATTCTACGATCCCTAACCCTTAATGAAACCCCCGAGTTTTAACAACAATACAACATCACCTATCCCCTCCCCCCCCCCCCTCAATTCAAATATTACATGTAAATAAATGGTCTTATTGTATTTTAGCGTATTAAAGAACAAAGTGACAATAGAAAGAGTAAACCAAAGCAATAGATATGAAGTAGAAGTTAAAAGCGAATGACTATTACTGTATTAAATACCTTTGGACAATCTTCCCCGGCATATCCAGCGCGGAAAGTATGGGCACCGACATCAACGACAAGAGCTCCAACCTCATCTGACAAAAAACAACACCAAAAACTCTTAAAATATACAATCAACTACTGCAACAATATAGAATAATAATCAATTACCTCCCCCGTAGACTCCTCCGCTCATTTTGATTCACTATAAATATAAAATTTTAAGCTTTTCTTTCAAGCTTTTTTGACAAGAAACAAAAACACACGAGTTTGGCGGCAAAGACGTGAAGGACTGGAGCTAGTGCGTGGTTACATAGCATCCATACCACAGGTAGCCCACACTTAGCCCAAATTCTATTGTCGTTTTTTTTTTCAAGCAAATATTTTGATAATTCAATATTAAAATAAGTATAACTTAGTAAACTAGGGTGTTTGTTACGCTAATACGTTTACGTAAATCTGCTATCAAAGTACTGGTAGTACGAATACCGGAAATGCAACTAAACGTCTTGTTTCAAATCTCAACACAGGAAACCCAGAGTATTTTGTTTATTTATTTGTTCATATGTGTAGGAGAACAGTATATAAAATATATATTTGTACTGCGGTCGTAATGTATCAAATTGAGCTGATCCTTGAAGTATATGAAACAACTTATGCAGCTGCAAATTTTTAAAAAAGATTAAAAAACTATTTGTTCATGTACAACCGGGCTCCCTGTGGTTAAAGGCTTTCTCTTTCATAAATCCAAGACGTCAGACGAACGCGGGAATTTAAACTAAGTCGAAATTTTTGTGGAAATTAAGACTCTTAAGGCATTTATAATTATTTTTCTCGCCCAGGAATGTCTCTACTTGAACTCCTGAAGGATAAACCACCTGTTGTTTCTGATGGTGATATTCCATGGCCTGCACCGAATAAGAACGTCGATGCTTCGTCTTCATCAACAGCTGCCCCATTTTTAACGTCTTCACCCTTATTTCCAGCTAAAAGGACGCCAAGTTTACGGGAATTTCTCCACCCAAACTACCGTGGTAAGAAAGAGGAAAAAGAGAAGGATTCTATTAGCGAACCTAGTGACTTACTGCTGGCTATTGAGAAGAATAAATCTTCAAACAATTTGAGCAAAACAGATTTTGACTTACAGAAAAAAATTCGCCACAAAAGTTTGAATGTAAATTATAGTTCAAAAGAAAAAGTACAAGAAAGACTAGCGAAAAATACTGAGGAGACTAGCTCAATTTCTGTGCTTAAAAATCCGGATTTTGAAGATTCTGGAAGTGCAGAAACCCAAAAAGATGAAAAATTACAAACCTCAATTTTAGGTACATGTAATTTAACTTCTACAGAAAAAGTTGTTTTCCAACAAGATGTTGCTGAAGAAGTCGATAATTCTGAGACTGTGTCTGAAATAAATGTTTTTCTTGATAATACCACAAATCAGGAAATATCTGTAACAGATTCTGATGTTGTCATTGGGAAGAGACAAGAAAATGGGCTCTTTGTTCATGCCGACAAGATTCCAGCATCAAAAAGAATAATTTCAGAAACTAAATCTGTAATGACTGATGATAAATCAATTGAGAGAGCTAAAATAATTTCTGTTGTGGAAAAACAAGGAAAGAAATCAAATCAAATCAAATTAAATGATAAGAGTGATGATCATTCGTTGGTTTATGCCGACAAGGTTTTAACACCAAAGAGAAAAATATCAGAATTTGAATCTGGACTAACTGAAAAAGAATTGGTAAAGAGAGTTAGAAGAATATCTCAAGATTATTGTTCAGGTGTGATTCCTGGTATGTGTGGTACACAAAACAATGAATTGAAAGATTCGGCAGTATGCAAAGAACAAGGGTTGTCTTTGAATGATGGGCAGAACACACAAGACAGTGATCAGGATAAGTACAATACTGAAGTACACAAAGTACAAGCCGTGACATTAGAACCTGACATGTGCAACACACAAGACAATGAACTTGAAGAGTACATTGTCAATGACAAATTAAAGGAAGATCAGAATTTGATGTCAAAAAATAATAACAGTGATCGCAAAGGAACACTTTCCATAGAAAATAAAGCGCAAGAGTTAACTTTGAAGGCTGATGAGGAAAATTCAAAAAACAATGATGGAAAAGAATCCATACATAAGGAGCATATACAGGAGCATTTGTCTGAGAATCGTAACATTGATCAGGATATAGGAAATAATGCACAAGAGTTGCCTTTGAAGGCTGATGAGGGAAGCACACAAAGCAATGATGTTGAAGAATCCATAGACAAAGCACATGTAGAAGAGGGATTATCTGTGGAGAGTGATAGCCACACTTGCAACAAAGAAGAAAGAATGCTGGCCACAGAAAATAAAGCACAAGAGTTGCTTTTGAAGGCTGACGAGGGCAGCACCCAAGGGAATGATGAAGAAGAATCCATGGATGAAGTACATAAAGAACAAGAACATCTTCCTCTGACAAAAGAGACGATGTGTCAGGAATTCAAGGATACACTACAAGATGAGAAAACCTTATCTCTGAAGACAGATATCATGTGCAGGGTGCAAAAGAAAGATGATCTGGCTCCACAAAACAGAAAGAAAGAAGCACAAGAATTGTCTTTAATGACTAATACATGCACGAAAGGGAATGACATTGTTATAGATACCACAGAAAATAAAGTATCCTTTGAAAAAGGAATTAGGAATGATAACTCAAAAATATCCTTATCAAACACTAAGTCTGAAACTAAAGGCTCTACGGAAAATAAAACTGAACTTTTTAAACACTCACAAGAGGATATTTTTGATATCCCAAAAATTCCACGAAATGTTAAATCACAGACTTCATTACGACAGAAAATTTTTACCACTGACTCTAGTGAGTCGAGTTCAACAGAGACTGAAGATAGTGAAACAGATGTAAAAGAAGCTGTCAATCAAAATCAAGGTTCTAAAGAAGTTTTCTCATCAAATGTTAAACCTGTATTAAAATTTAAAAATGCTACAGAAAGTGATTTTGATCCTACAAAAGACTTATCTGATAATAAAGTATGCAACTTGAGTCAAGATATTAGAGCTCCGAAGACTTTAGACACGAATGATTCATGTACTCAAATTTCACTTAAAGATAATGCAATTGATTCAAATTCTGGTTCTGAGGAGGACRGCTCTACTGATGAAGACAAAGATGAAGGTCAGGGCAGCACAAAACTCGAAAAGGAAGAAGAAGAAGCTATTGAGATTTTGGTATTTAACGATTCAGATGATGATGATGATGGGTTGGAAGATGGAGAGATTGAGGAAGAGAGTAGTGACGAGAGCTTTAAGTCAGTAGAGGGCATGGATAGACTTGAGGAAGATGAGGTTCCATGTAATGAAAGCAAAGATAAAGCTGAGAATAAAAAAATAACATTGGGAAATATAGGGATGCCTAAAGGTAGCAAGAGAAGAAGAAAAAAGAAGGCAAAAGGATTATCAAAACAGGAAACACCAAAGAAGGTTAGTAATAATAATAATAATAATAATAATAATTTTATTAAATAGCGAAAAAATTCATTAAAATATATGATCTAATGCGCTTAGACAATCATAATAATATGTATGTACTTTTATAAAACTCATGAATAATTAATGAGGAAAACACAATAAAACCATTGTCCGTGGAGGAGGTTGTATATCTGATAAAAAATCGTCCCGATTTGCATAAACTCTAACTCCAATTTTCTTAGCCAAATTCAATTTTATCTTTAAAATTATAGTAGAACATGAATGTATACACCTAGACGTTTCATAAGTAATATACAATATCCGTGTCTGTGTTGTATCAGATATACAAACTCATGGCTATGCCTCGTGGTTGTACATCTGATACAACACGCCCACTCATATTGTATGTACTTGTCAACGGCAAATACAGGATTTTGTCTATGGATTTTTGAACTGGCAAACCGAACCAAATAAAAAACAGTTCCTAGCTCCTACAGGTCTCTAACTAGGGGAAAAAAGTTACTATTTGTTTGGCAGTTCATAACKTTTTTTGCCTGCTAAACCTTAATTTTGGCCTCGCATTAATTTGGCCAATGGCAGGTCACTACTTCGAGCCCTGCTTGTACTGTATCGTAATTACCTCAGACTATATAGTTTTTGAAATTTCTGCAACGCTGTGTATATATACACTGTATGTGTTTATTTGGGGCTTGGGGCATGTCTACTTGGACTACGAGTCCATTCATGCTCTGTTGAAGCTATTAAATAAATGAAGGAAGGAAGGAAGGAAGGAATGAAGGAAGGAATGAAGGAATGAATAAATAAATATTTTTATGTTTTAGATAAAAAATGTTCCTACAAAAGAATCCAAAGACGACCTCAGTACAAGAAGATCATTTAAGAAACCAATGGCAGACCAAAGTACCACATGCAAGCCAGAACCCATAAATGAAAAACCCAATGAAGATGAAAACCAGGAGGAGTTTAGCTTGTTATCTACGTTGACGAGCACTGCAGTCATGGATGTCACTGTTGCAGCCAGTGAAAAGGTAATTAATAAGCCTGAAGCGAGATGATGTTTTACCCCGACTCTATACCATAATAGTTTTTAAAATTCTTTCATATTAAAATTTTTGATTCCTTAGAGAATACAGGAACAATAGTCATAATTAATGAACAAAAGCAATGTGAAAAGGATTATGGTCTAGAGACAGGGGTAAAACGTCATCTTGCTTCAGGCTTATTTCAAATTTATTTTGATCCTTTGACATTTTATTTAAACAATCATAGAAAATGTTTTTTGGCTTTTGCAAGGAATTTGTTTCATAAAGGCATGTTGGTTCCAATTACATTTATTAMTGTACATTTAGGGAAGCATGGGTGGTGTAGCTGTGTTAGTGCTCGCCTCTCATCAATGGGACCCAAGTTCGAGTCCCGCCAGGTTCGGTGTTGTACAGTATATGAGTAGAGTTGTTTGTTGGTTCTCTCCTGTGCTTTGAGGGTCTTTCTCCGGGTTCTCCGGTTYTCCTCCCTCCGCAAAAATCAACTCCTAAATTCCAATTGGATCATGGAATGAGGGCCATAGGTTTGTTAGCCACTGGCTATTAAGTGCTACCCTCGTGAAAAAAAAGACAATTTTTTTTCATGTAGTAATAAATTTATTCTCACATGTGGTTGGTCAGAACCCAAAAAACATTTCAGATATTTTTACAGGGAAGCACACTTAGGGTAGTAGTGAAAGCTCTTGACTCTCACAAATGCGACCCCTGTTCAAGTCTCTCCAGGCTCTGTGACATATGTGAGTACAGTTGCTTGTTGCTTCTCTACTGTGCTGCGAGGGTTTATCCTGGTTCTCCTGTTTTACTCCCTCCACGAAAATCAACTTCTACATTCCAATTGGAATCCAGTGGATGGACTGCCACTCTGTGGAAATGCCACTGCTAAATTCCATTTATTTAAKTTTTGTGTCTACTGCATATTAATAAGCAGTAGACACTATGCCATCGAGTTTACCCAGATATACTTCATATCCTATTTAACAAGCGAAAAAATATAGTTATATGACATGCGRTACAACTGACATAAAGTTCATACCATTGTAAGGCTTGTAAAACTTTTGATGACTTTCGGATCCCACGTGCACAGCTRGCGGTGCATGGCGAAGCTTGGCGAGGATAGCCGACAGGCGATAGAATTGGTATGTTTGTGCTACACGAAGCATGTCAACAATTGCGCTTCCTGAACGATTGCTACAGAACCAATGCGATGTGAAACTGACTCAGATTTTTCAGTGACAATATTTGAGCCCTTTAAAGGGATAACTGAACTCCGTAAGCAGGATATTAAGCCCTGAATACCTGCAAGTGAATATTCTACATAAGCATGATTCAAAAATGATGCTGTGTATCTATCAGCAGTAGACACGTACTCATCGAGTACGTTTTTTTTACTAGGCACTTTTCTTAGTTTTAAATAATATTATATAGAATTAATGATTAGTACTGAACAAGAGAAAATKAACTAAGAGAAGGAATCCCCGTGCCCCATCATGTGCMCACTTTGATGCTATTTTTAGAATCATTGAWGCTATTTTTAACTCGTTACCATGCCCGCGCGATAATCATGCTTCCCTTTAATGCCTCGTTTTAGGACACGAAAAGCGACAAAAACACAGGGTTTTGTTTACAGCAAGACTAGAAGCCGCCTACCCTCAAGAAATCAACCAATCAGGTTCTTCGCTCAAAATATTTCAAAGCTAAAAATAGCATCAAACTGTGCACATGATGGTTACAAGGCTATATAGGGGGGATTCCTTCTCTTAGTTCATATTCTCTTGTACTGAATTAATACTTGACATCATACAGGAACTGATTAAGAAGAAGTCAAGAGGAGGCAAGGTRAGTGCCAAAAAAAGAAAGAAGTTGCAGAGAAGAATGAACGAGCACACTGCACGAAGAGCAGAAATAGAGATGAGAAGACTTGAGATTATAATGGAGCCATTGCCGATGCCGATCTGCCTGTTCTACTTAAGTGGTTCATGTAACAAGGTAAGGGGAGCAAAATAATGTAAACACAGGGGTGGTGAGGGGGAATGAGTATTAACTCCACCCTACACAAACCCCTGTGTTTACTAGACATGCTTATCAGTATCGGGATCGACACCTAGTGTTTGCTCTTCAAAGGGAATCTGAATGTGCCAATGAAGTGATAAACTTGAAAAACAGTGTTTTAAAAGTTAGGAAAATGGTAGAAGAGTAACTACGTTTGAAAATACACTTAATACCGTAAATGTCCGTCAAATTACTTMATTTTTTATGCACCATATCCCTGGACTTATGGGYTTCCTGTGGTATTGGAGGTACCCTGTAATAGCAGTGGCGGATCCAGGAATTTTAGAAGTGATTTTTATTACAAGAAGGTTTTACCAGGAATGGGGAATGGGAGGAAAATGGGGGGGAGTGACTTACTATGTATAATACTGAGAAATTTGAACAAAAGGGGAGATGCYAGCCACCCCCTTTTGCAATCCCTGGATCCACCCCTGAACAGCCACTCCTCTCTTTAAAAATGCGCTTTTCTCAATCAAAAGATACGAACTCAGACCTGTAGAAAATTTGATTGCATGAAGCCAAAAACACAGAAATGTGTTGGAAGTGGTAGCCGGGTAATAGACCTTATTTGTGGTGTGACAATGTTTTCCCAATTCAGCGTGACAAACCTCCAGGGGATTCATTTTCTTTTGTTTTTACTCTTCGAAAAATTCATGAGTATCCCAAAGGATACGAAAGGAATAACGATGATATCCCGACGAGTTGCAAAACAATAGCTCTTCATTCCCTCAGAGGTTTGTCACGTTCAATTGGGAAAATATTGTCACGAATATAAGGATAGGACTGGTGTGACGTCATTTCCTGTTGTTTTATTTGTCAGGGTGATGGCTGTCAGTTCAGACACGAGGGAACTCCAACAAAGAGACCACATCTCTGCAAATACTATGTAATGGGTGTGTGTGAAAAGGGTGATAACTGTCTCTACCAACATAATATCCTTTGTAATGCCATCACTAATATACACGTGTTTCATACTCGGACTCTCTAGCTGATCAGGTAGGATGAGGTGAAAAACTGGGTCGAATTTGTATTGCAGTGCATCGTGGGACTGTTTTAGGGACATATTTTAAAGATGGCGTTTATTTTGTTCYCTAAAGCAGTACGATTGACTGGAATGCCAACTCGATCAATTTCCAATTTCCCCCCTCAAGCTCGGAATGGTTAATACACCATTTTCGAATTCGTACAACACCGCTGTGTTCCTTGATTACAGACTCTTTTACTCAGGGTTAGCCTTATTTCAGCGTCAGAATATTCCCGAATAGCAATTTAACGGTAAAGTACTGAGAATGCACAACTTCAAAGATACAAATACTTTGAAATTCCAAGGACCTTCACTGGAACACGTGAATATTTTATACAAAATCGAGGCTAACCCAGAGCAACAGAGAGCTCGAAATGACTAGAGTATTTAATATTCCTTGACAATTCTCAAGCGCATATCCATGCAAGAATTTCCACTTAGGGTCACGTGTGTGTACCTATGAAGACCGCTGTAAATTCTCCCATGATGCACCAACGCCCGAGACTCAAGTTCTTTTTGACCAGGTTTGTAGACTTTCACGACACGAGTGAAAAACGTCTGCGCATGCTCTGAATCCGTATCAATATGTAAATGTGACTTTCAAACATGCCTGATAAATTTGACTTCACAAAATGCCGAAACTTAGTGTCCATGCTTGATACTTAAGACTAATTCTTTCATATTGTGTTTGTYAATACAGTATCTTGGTCTGACAAAAGTATACTCTCGAACTTTTTTGTATACTTGGAGAAAACTCTTCAAATTTCTTAGAAAACGTGCTGAAGTGCACGCATGCGCAAACGTTTCTCTAGTGTCGACTTTCACGGTTTTGCTCTGCAACTTTTCTGCTCATGCGTAGAGTTTTCTGCGCATGGGTGTTTCATTTCCCTTAGTTCATGGATCCCTCCTTCTTCCAGAAAACAGGAGCGGATTCAAAAAATTCAGAAAGCAAGAAGTCATAAACCATAAAATGGTAATTGAATTTTGAGAGGGTTAAACCAGTGTCTTAAAACTAAGACGTAGTTCCGTAGGAAAAATCCATCACGAAGCAACACCTTGGATATGCAGGCATCTGTTATATACCATCGTTTTCCCATTTCAGACCACGTGTCATTYCCTAGAGTATCATTTCTTTGTTTAACGGTTGCACATGAGAAGACACATGAATATGGATACAACTCAAACAAAAAATCTTATTCTCAAGACCATGTGTCATTCCCTAGAGTATCATTTCTTTGTTTAAGGTTTGCGCTTGGTTGCACATGAGAAAACACATGAATATGGATACAACTCAAACAAAAAATCTTAATCTCAAGACCACGTGTCATTCCCTATAGTATTATTTCTTTGTTTAATGGTTGC